CATAGATCAGTAGCAGTAACAATGGTTGGGCCCTGGTGTTTCACCCAAGATGCCGTTGTGCGTAGGCAGACCCCGGTAAGAATTATAAAGAGGGTGCTCATAGCTCAGTATAAGCCATCAACATTTCCACTGTGTTTATTTTACCCAAAGGTAATGTTTGACATGTGCCACTGAACTGGAAATCCTATGACAGCACATGCATCATTGTGTAGCAGTAGTCCACGGTTCAAGAAAATGACCTTAGCCTGCTAGAATATTCCCAAACATCTTTCAGTTTTCCTGTCTACTGTTTTTCTTTCCATACCGCTCTATCTCTGATTACATGGGCCAATATTCCATGGGAGATTTGTAATTCAATGTCAAAATTGGTTAACTGACCTGATGTGTTGTCCTATGAACAGTAAAAAAAAAAAAAAACCTCAGTAAAACAGTAAAATACAAAAATACTTCATTTACAGCTGAGACACGGATGCCTGTGGCTCTAGTTTTAAGCTAATAGTTGGTAAACGTGTTTATATCTGGTGTGTTCTTGGTCTGTATTCAGAAACTGTAGCTTTAGAGTTAGCCTCCTTTTCTATTCCATTTAAAAATGGCGTATCCTGTGAAAGATGATAGGATGACATCATTCAGCAGCTGTGTTCATTGCCTGCTTTCATTTGATAACGCAGCTTTAAAGACTTCTCCTTCCAAGAAACGGTGCAATTCCATCGCAGCCCTAAAGGCAGCATCACAAGAAATAGTGTGTGCGGTCAGCCAGGAGTGGAAGGATGAAAAGCATGGCGTCCTTACTGAAGGGCAGAGCTATTCCAGCCTTGATGAGGAAGGTAATGTCCTTGGAATCAATAGGCTACCTGATATTTTTAAAGGAATTTAGCACCAACCCTAAATAAAAAGCTTCCAATCTGGTTGATCTTTTAAAACTTCTGAGTGGGGTTATTCTCTGTTACTACTCCCGGAGTGAGTTGTTACTCTTGCTCGGCAAGAGTGGACCTCCAGCAGCAAGAGGGAAGTCAGAATCAAGGTTACAGAACGGTCTTAATCGTCTCCTTGTTTTCAGGAGATCCTAAAATAGTTTGTGCAATGCGAGTAACAGTTTAAGGTCAGAGCGAGTGGTACTCTTTTCTCTGCCTTCTGAACAAACATACAAAGTGTTATGAGGCTCAGTTCATCATTCTCGGAGTCTTTTGAAATGATGCAGGCTGTGCCCCTTTTGGAGTTCAGCTGCAGATGGGCTCAAAGGAGAACCAACCAGGATCCCACCTGAAAACCAGGCCCCAGGAGCGTGAGATCAGTCCTGACACTTTGAAGAATCCACCAGATATTCATACCACTCTTTAGCATTTGCCCTTGCATTGCTCTGTATGCTGCTAAATGCACTGTCTAATTAATGCGCTGCTAAATGCACTGTCAAATTTCAGCAGCTGACATTTGCTTTATAATGCAAAAGCATGCAGGCGTGAGAACGTGAATGTTACAACCTCATCAGTTCAAACATGTTAAGAAGTTTCCAGAAAACTGTTGAGAGAACTGTATGACTCCGTAAGGATCCTTGGATCCATTTTGAAATAATAATAATAATAAAAAAAAGTATTAATAACAATTTCTTTTTTTTTTTTTTTTTGTTCTGTGCAGTGCTAAGTTCGCGGCACCGGCCGGATCTAGTGCCAAGTACTCCGTCGCTGTTTGAAGCAGCTTCCTTGGCAACTACAATTTCTTCCTCTTCCCTGAATGTAGATGAGCGCTGTCAACGTGATGAAACTACACTCTGCTCTAGCAGGTAAAGGCTATATATGTAGAGCCACACCACCAGCACCCTTCTGCTAAGAATCTGACAACGTGCACAGTGGAAGGGGGTCCGTGGTGAGGAGTGCCATGAACCCATAGGATTTGGTACCTATTTTGCGTTGGGGTTACAAAATGATATGCATAAACGCAGCATAGAAATTACGGTATGCTTGGAAATTTTTATGATGTTCCAAAACCAAATTGGATGTTAAAGTTTCTTCGGACTTTAGTCTGTACTGCAAACCAAGCTATGCTAAGATCAGGGCAGGAAATACTTTTTGTAACTTGGCGGCACTGTAAAAAAGCTACAGAAAAACAGGACTAAAGCATACAGTTTTACGTAACTTTGATGTATTAGGAAAAAGGAACTACTTTCAAGTGGATCTTCATTTTAAGTGTGCAGAGCTGAATGTTCTTTTGAAATGACCATTTTCTCAAGTGAATATCTGCGAACCTTCCCCAGTGGCTGTGATTTTAGCCTGTCTGTTCGTAACCTGGGAAGGATAAAAATGGGAAAATGTCAGGGAAAGTTGTGCAGACACTTATGAGCGATCTTGGATATGTGTTGAGTTGTGCTTGAATGTGTGGTAGCCATGTGTGCCCAACACCACGCCCAGGCTAGGAACTCTTGCTGGGTGATGGTTTGCATGCATGTAGGCTCTACTCATATGCCTGAAAGGAAGCGTGTGGTGTTGTGTTGCGTGGTCTTGCCTGCTTGGAGGTCTCCTTGCCATATGTTGAATTTTGGAGAGCCATTTCTCTATCTGGTTTTGTCAGGGAGGGTAACCGTTGGGAACTCACGCATCTTGAATTTCATTATTTTGTATCCAGCGCTACTGGCTATGTACATCTGACAGCTTATCCATGGGCCGAGATGCAGGTCTTTTCTTTAAACTCTGTCCAAAAAGGTCAAGTTAATTTACAAACAGTCTTGGAGCAGCAGGATTTTTTTCTCCTTATTAAAACTTGACCAATTGCATTTTATAAGTAGTAATATAACATGTAGAATTATTTGATCAACGTGATATGCGCAGCTTGCTTCTTCGGTAGGTTGAAATAAGCCTTGCTGATGTAGCATCTTTCACCAACCTTTATGTTTTGCTATTAAAAATTGAAATGAGGTATGGCTTATGGTGTAACAAAACTGCAGTTTTAATTACAGACCACCGCAAATTGTCCAAAAATGCCTCGTACAAACTTTAAGAAATAAAATTGCAAATTAATAAATTTGCAAATTAATAAATGTTAGTAGAAATAGAGCTCCTTCCATTCAGCTTCTGTCAGTCTTCTGTGACGGTACAGCTGTAACATTCCATGGTCTTGTGTTAAGTTTAACCTTTGCTAAAAAATAAGGTTGTGGAGTACTATTTTTTTTTTAAATTTTCTGTATACCTCAAGTAAAACTCCATAACTATTTTGCATTGGCATCGGTCAGAAAAGGAGAATTGCACAGCTGACTGGATAAACAGTTCACACTTACTGCCAATAAAATGTTTCAAATAGTCTTTACCCTCTACAAGTTACTTGTATGAAAAGGTTATGAGTACGTCTGTGACTTTTTCCTGTAGAGGTATTCAAAAATCATTCTAAAACGAAACAAGTTTTTGTCAGATCTATAATTTGAGTGCATATTTAGACTTACTAATGTCCAGATATAGCTCAGTCAATAAAAAAAAAAAAGTGCTTCCTGTTTTCAGTTATGCAATTACCACACGCATCCGTATTTTATAAAATGAGAAGGGAGCTATAGGGCCTCCAGCCTAGGAGGTTGCGTGCAGCACCCACAGTCAGCAAGTTCCCCTCATGTGTCAGGCCTTGCACCAGTACTCACAGGTTTGCGGCGCTCTCCATCTCCCGTGTTGAAACACAAGATCTCGCCCCGTAGCCGGGATTGCTTCCACAGGGACTGGTGACTCAGCCCTTACGTCCAGCATCCTTCCTGGCCTTGCTCTAACCTTTTAAGCCAAATTTCATGGGGCTTGTAGACAATTTTCCCCCCGCCCCTCTCTAGCAAGCTCTGGTTCATGTCACAGTCTAAGCATGTTAAATTTGCAAAAATTAGCTTCCCTGTTATAGCGAAAGGGCTTTCTGTTAGACTTTGCTGCTAAGCATGTTTGGTGTCATACTAATTTTGTCAAGATGATTCTGGGCACTTGCAGTATCGTCCTGAGCCCTGCTTTCTGCACCGTTGCAGCAAGGTCCTTCCTTCCTGGCGGCACTAAATAATACATGCAGCTGAAATGTTATGTATGTTTTTATGGTACACATGAGGAACTTCAATCTTACCATTAAAAAAGCTGGCGGGGAAAAAATAAATAAATAAACTGAACACCCCACTGTGACAAATTAAGTGATAGATGCTTTATGTTTCTCTCACTGGAATTTTGCTTTTGAGTATTACGGAACACTGTGATGGAGGACCCATCACTTTGTAGTTTCTCTCTGATAAATGGAAAGACCAGAGCAGGCTTTTAAACAAAGCTTAAATTAATGACTGATTTACAAATATGAGCCTGCTCAGTCTTTAACTATGAAGTTCTACTTGAAGTTAATAGAATTATAGCTTGGCATCTTCTTTGCCGGTTTTTTTTTCCCTCCTCCTTCAAGGTGTCCTGTCATAAAGTAGAGAATACGAGAATTTCCTTGTAACTAGTCAGAAATCTGTTCTATGGTAATGAGGGGAGATAATCTTGCATGCTGCATCTCCACTGCTCCTTGACTGCCAATAATGCTAATGGCCAATACAGACCCATATCAGTGAGAAGACAGATGCTGTTATTTGCCTGATTAAAAAGAGAGTAGTAGTACATTTGCCTACCTTGAGGCACACATCACATTTTTTAACCTCTGCTCTTCTGAAATACCTCTGTTTCTGTCAAGCATGGATGTAGCCGCTTTCCAAGGAGGGTGAAAGAGCATTTTATATGAAAAAGGTGCTCAGCAGCGTGTCTGGTGGAGGGTGCACAGCACTCACGTGGTACAAGTGCCGGGGCCAGGGCAGCCCCGATTCGGGGGCCGGTGGGGTGCCGCGAGTGTGGTTAACCTGAGGGGACTTGCTGAGCCGGAGCCTGCTCGTGAGGCTGAGCCACGTGAGGAAGGTGCAGGTAATCCTGACGCCGCACAGACTGGAGCTTCCTTGGTAGGTAACGCAGAGCAGCATTTAGGGACTTGTGCTTAAAGAAAAAAGGGAGACTGCGCAGCAGTCACAGGCACATAACTAATTAGGAACGTTTCTGCAGATCGCTAGCTCTTACGCAGGGCTGTTTTGTTTCTTTGGTTTTAAACGAAGTTGTTCTTCAGTCCTTGGAAAGCTGGAGGAAACTTGAGATGTTAGTGAGGCAGTGTGAAGAGGGACTGGCAAAAGTGAATGAAGGGGTATGGAGCAGGGGAAGACGGCCATTATTTTTCAGCACAAAGGAGCTTTATCTACAAAAGGGAAGTAAAAGCAAAAAAGCAGGTGAACACTGTAAGATGTAGGTTATTAAACAAACATTGGCTTTCTTGTTTTGCCAAATGACAGCTGGCATCTATGTTTTAGAAAGCTGTTTCTCAGTCAAGTGGTTGTCTCATAAGCAATGCAAAGTATTTATTTAGGAAGAAAATACAATTAACAGATGTTGCTTATGCTGACGTTTTCAAAGATTTCCACTCCTCCTCAAGTAGGGTTACGTTTGGTGCAGAGCTACTTTACTACTCAAAGGGTCCGTTTTCTGCTAGGATATGTGCTGAATATTGAGTCCAAATGCAGTATGAACGACGTGTCAGTTAACAGAGCTTTTACAATTGCAGAGAGCCAAAGGAGGTTATTGTCTTCAGAGGTGCTTCCTGAAATGTTTCAAACAGGAGTTTGAGGGTACAACAGAAAGTCTCCTTCCAAGATACCTTTCGGGAAGGTCCCATAGATTCCAGTAACGAACCCAAATGAAATCCCATGATGTGCTAGGGGGTACTTCACATCTGTGGAGGCCTCCTGAGAACCTGCAGTACGGTGGGAGGATAACGTAACAAGGATTGCTGCATCCTTCTGCTGTGTTTAAGCACAGGAGAATTAATCCGTATAAAATCTAATTCTTGTTTCTCTTTACCCGTGTTTTTATACCTTCTTTCTGAAAGAACTAGCTACAGAATGGGCTTCCCCCTTCCCTTTCTTCTTCTTCGCTGCTTTTCTGTATATTTTTCAATTGTTTTCTTTCTTTCTCATTGCACATTCTTTTCTGTACACTTTCCCTCCCACCCCCACCATTTTCTTACCTCTTTATTACTGCTTTTAAGTGCAGACCTTCTGCAGTTTTGGAAGGCTTGAGAGGTTGTGGGAGTTTTTTTTTTTTTTTTTCCTCTTACACAATCAAAACTTCTTGAAAATTCCATGTTTTGAACTGAAATGTCGCATGACTTGTCATCTTATCAAACATCCTTTTTGAAAACAGCTCAAAAAATACAAATAAAATCTTCTGCTGTTTTTCCAGTGGAAGGGGATTGTAGGTATTAGTTTTCCAGTTGCGATAACTGTCTAACCGTACCTTTTGTCAGTCTGATTTTGTAGGTAAGCAGATTTGTGTGTTACGTTTAAATGTTCTGTCTGCCCACCCATCCCCCTTCACATTCTGAAACTGTTAGACAGATTTGACTGAATTTAGTTCAAAGAGAATAAGTTCATGCAAGCTGCATGAAGATAAGCAAGCAGGTAAAGGAAAAAGAGTAAATAAATGCTCTGATGCTAGAAAGGAGTGCACTGAGACGCTGAGGAATCCCCATGGGAAAGAAATTTTGACTACGATAGAAGGATTGTGAAATGAATGGCTCAAAGAGAACCAGGTTTTCTCAATTTTGCTATGATGGAATGACTTCTGGGTTTTTTATCTTTTTAAGAACTAAGATAAAGTAGCGTGCTGTAGCAAGAGGGGAGCAGCAACACAGCTGAGAGTAAGCTCCTCTTCCGCTCATGGTTGACCATTACTGAGAGGGAGAAAGTAACTGTAAAAAATGATTTTT